TCTTCCTGTATTGGACTGGACTTGATGAACTCTCAAGGTCCCTTCCAGTTCTATGATTGGAACAGCTATACAGCTATTAGCATCTTTATACTGATATCACTGCATCCACACTCGGGGGGAGGAAGTGGTACCACGTTAGCTATACCAGCGGTGTTAAAGCCGGACAACTTTCTAATGTAGACGAGGTCTTCAATTCATAGATTCCAAGGCCAGACGGGACCATTGTGGTCATCTCGTCAGACCTCCTGTATAGCACAGGCCAGAGACCTGCCCCAAATCATTCCTAGAGCAGAGCTTGTAGAACAAACATCCCGTCTTGATTTAAAACTGGTCAGTGATAGAGAATCTACCGCAACCCTGGGTGAGTTGTTCCAGTGGTTAATTATTCTCCCTGTTAAAAACGTTCACTTTATCTCCAGTCTGAATTTGTCCCGTTGGATCATGTTATACCTTCCTCTGCTAAATTGAAGAGCCCTTTGTTTGTTCCCCTGTAGGTACAAATCTAGATTGGGATCAAGTAGGGTGACCAGATGTCCTGATTTTTTAGGGACAGTCCCAATATTTGGGGCTTTTTCTTATATAGGCTCCTATTACCCCCCCACCCCCGTCCCTAGGGTGACCAGACATCCTGATATTTCGGGGTTTGTCAATTTGTCCCGATATCTGCCGGCAGTGCCGGGTTTTTTTGTTGTTGTTGTTCCGCCGGTGGGCACCCCCCCCCCCCTCTGCCCCCATGTGTCCCGATATTTTCTTTATCTCATCTGGTCACCCTACCCATCCTGATTTTCCACACTTGCTATCTGGTCACCCTAGGATCAAGTCACCCCTCCATTTTCTCTTTGTTAAATGAAATAGATCAAGCTCCTTGAGTCTATCACTGTAACGCCTGTTTTCTAAGACTTTGCTCCCTGGGGCTCTGTCTCTGGTGTCACGAAGAAGGGAAGGGGTCTGGCTAGATCTGACTGTGCCCTGTGTCTGGAAAGGATCCAGTGGCTGCAGCCACTGGAGGGCCCTGGTTATGGCCAAGGGACAGAAGTCTGCTCTCTCTGCTCAGCTTACCAGGGCTGACTGAGCTTCCGGAACAGAGGCTGCTGCTGCTGCATCCGGACTGGAGCTGGGCTGATGATTGGCTGCTGTTCCCTAGTGGGATCTGATGCCCAGCTTCCCAGCTGCGGTAGGGACCGTCTCTGGCTGGACCCTGCCCCCAGGGCTCTGCCAACATTAGCTCCTGAGACCGGGTGATAGAGAGAGCAGGGGATGGGGCTCTGTGCAGAGTGCCTGACTCTGTGAGACCCCAGAGCGGCTGCCCGAGGGAGGCAGAGCTCATGGCCCTGGGGAGGGGCAGGGAGAGAGAGACTGAAAGGGGTGAAACAAGTAGAGAGAGGGAATCTGCTACCACCATCTCCCCTGGCATTTCACCACCCCTGACACACATGCACACACTGACACTCCGCACAGACACGCTCACACAATGACACATACACACACTCGCGCTGACATGCAGACACGTTCTGACCCACTCACTGCTGTAACATCGACACGGGCCAAAACGCTGATGGACCTTAGCACACTCACATGCACTGTGACACACACATGCTCATGCACACATACGTACGCTCACACATTCATGCAGACGCACGAGTCATACACGTGCACTGTCTGACATACAAACTTATACAGACACCCTCAGGCACTCCCCCACCCACACTCAGACAGGCAGAGATGATAGTTTCCCGCCATTCCCAGGGCTCCCTCCATTAGCTCCGTCCGTTGGACAGACTGTTGGGGTCTGCAGAACAGCACATATTTCATAGATTTCAAGGCCAACAGGACCCATTGTGCCCATGCTGTCAGGCCTCCTGCCTAACTCAAGCCAGAGAATCTCGCCCAGTAACTCCTGGCTGAGCTGTACCTCCCACAGGGCGCGTACCCAACCCCAGCCTGCCTCTAGCTCCCCATGTTTGATTCCATGTCCCTGGCACATTCCCTGAAACACCTAACAAGCCCTGAACTCACCTTGATTCTTTCCCTCACGCTGAGCAGGATTCCCAACAGCAAATCTGACGTGGTTCCCCAGACAGAGGGAAGGGAAGAGCTACGTGTCCTGGATTTCTAGGGTCTGGGCACGGGGTGGATTCTCCATCACTGGAAGTTTGTTAATACGGAGATGCGGCATCTCTTTCTCAAAGTCAGGAGTCACTGGGCCAGAGGCAGGAATGGCTGGGGGAGATAGGAGGCCAGGCTGGAAGGGTACAATGAGCTTTCAGGCCTAGATATCTATTTCCCTAGAGACAGCAGCACAGAGCAGAGGTACAAAAAATGAAACCAGCTCAAAGTATTTGTGAGTGCCGTGAAACAGCTGGGATCCCACAGAGCTGCCGTGAACTTCCCCAGCTCTGCCCCCCTTTCAGCCAGGCTGGGACTGTACCCAGCAACTGTGGCAGGCATCAGTGGAAGTCTGGGAGCTGCTCCCCCGCTCAGCTGCCTTTCCCCTGGGTGTTTGGAGGGGGCGTGGTCGTCCTCTCTCCCCCGCCCCTGGCCACTTGAGGGGTTTCCAGCAGGAGATTATTTGATCGATCCAACAATGATTCATTTCACCGCCTTGGCCATTCCCCATTCCGAGGATCTCCTTTGTGTCCCCCACCATTGCCCAGCGGAGGGACTGACTCACATCCAGATTCTTTCTCGTCACAGCAGGAGCTGAGATTTAAGAGCGAGGACGAGGAGGAATCGGCAGCAGGTAGGTGATGAGACAATGGATCCGGATGGGACCGCCTCAGGAATCTCTGAAGCTGATGAACACCAGAGTCCTGGGCAGGGAGAAGCTCGCGAGGATCGCAGTGGGTTGGAAGAGCAGGCAGATGGCGATCCTGATGCTGTCAGGGGAAGTTTAAATGTCCAGGATGGCACCCAGCAAGGGGAGGATCCAGCCACATGGGCTGAGCCAGGGAGAGGCCCCAGTGGGAGCTCAGAACATAGGGCCCAGGAAAGAACCCAGCTGCGGCAGAAACCCCATTGCTGCCCTGACTGCGGGAAGGCGTTCAGCTGGAGCTCCCACCTCCTTCAGCACCAGCGGGTCCACACAGGGCAGAGGCCCTACAAATGTTCTGACTGCGGGAAGGGCTTCACCCAGAGTTCAGACCTCATTACCCACCAGAGAATTCACACAGGCGAAAAACCCCACCGCTGCCACCAGTGTGGAAAGGGCTTCAGTGTCAGCTCAGGGCTGGCCCGGCACAGGCGAGTCCACACTGGGGAGCGCCCCTACAAGTGCCCTGAGTGTGGGAAGCGCTTTGGTCGCAATTCCAACCTGCTGACCCACCAGCGCACGCACACAGGGGAGCGCCCCTACCAGTGTGGGGAATGCGGGCAGTGCTTCAGCCACAGCTCCACCCTTGCCAAGCACCGGCGGCTGCACACAGGGGAACGCCCCTACACCTGTGCCGACTGCGGGCAGTGCTTCAGCCTGGGCTCCACCCTGGCCA